TATGTGTATATATATATATATATATATATATATATGGGGGAGTGGTGAAGATGGGCCTGCATAAGGTCACCTGTTCAACCAAAATGTGGGTGAGAGGTGACACACTCACACCTGCCTCCACCCTCATTTGCCCCACTCTGGGCCCTTGAGCAACCTAGTCAGCTGCTCTCTGCTCCACAGAGGGCTGTGGTAGCTCGGTGACCTGTGGTTGTGTCAGGAAGGGTATCTGGCATAAAATCAACTGCCAAGTCTTCGTTTGATAGTTCACTGTGGCGACCCCTGAAGAAGGGAGCAGCCATAAGAAGTGTGTACATGTTTACATGTGTGGATGGATAGATAGATCGATCGATAGATATAGAGGGGTATATATGAAATCAGGTTTTACTTTATTTACAGCTGTCAGTTACATCGCAACAACATGACAGCTAAGTGGTTAGCACTGTTGCCTCACAGCAAGAAGGTCCTGGGTTCAATCCCCGGTTGGATCTAGGGTCTTTCTGTGTGGAGTTTGCATGTTCTTCTCGTGCTTGCGTGGGTTTTCTCCGGGTACTCCGGTTTCCTCCCACAGACCAAAAACATGCATGTTAGGCTGCCTTCAGGACTCCCATGCAAAATAAATCTGTGATCTCAATGGGATTTGCCTGGTTAAATAAAAGTTAATAAAATAAATAAATAAATACATTGTTTTCTTTATAACATTTTGTAATTTAGCCAGAGTTTAGTATCTTCAACTTTGCAAGCACAATCTTTTCTTAGTGAATCCCAGAATTTCTCCCCAAGTACATTTCAACAGTTCATTTATTTATGCATTCTTACCTAAAACACATAACACTTATATTTTTTAAATATTTGCTCAATAGATTACCAAGAACACCTCATACCAACACCTCTTCGTTCAAGTCAGTCTCCCCACCACCACAGACATCTACACCTCCAGATGGAGGAAGAGGGCCACCTGCATCATGAAGGACCCCACTCACACTTTTTGCCCCACTCCCCTCAGGAAGGAGGTTGAGGAGCATTAAGTGTAGAACCACTAGGCTGAGGAACAGCTTCTACCCTGAAGCTGTTAGACTCATGAATATCTAACCAGAAAAATCACCGTAACGCCACTTTAATTGGAGATTTGACACTTTATCAGTGCTGCTGATTATCCATGCTGACGATTTCTTACCTGTAAGCTGTTGTATTCATACTTATCTGTCACAACAGACTCAAGTTCTGGCTGCTGTTTAATGCACCTTATATTATTGTTTAACGTATATCTTAGATCATTGTAAACTGTTTCTTCTTTTCTTTAAAATACTTTATATTATTGCTATTTTTGGGCGTAACTGGGATGTTGAGTACACAATTTCGTTCCACCTCATGTACCACATGTGATGTGAATGACAAAGTCACCTTGAACCTTGAGGTGGTATAGATGGGACTACCCTTTCCTGAGGTGGAGCAATGAGGGGTAAGCTTAAAACACTGCAAAAAAAAAATAAAAAATCTGAAATAAATAAATAAAAATAAAATAAAAACTTAGGTTGTTTTAGTTTTCAGATAGGAGCTTTACAGCATTTTATTTTACAGCAATCTGGCAACATTGTGGTTTATATAGACATTTTTTATACGGATTATGTGGACAAAATAAACACTATGGGGTCTTTAAAGGGACAAATACATTTTAAACCCTCCTAATTAGCATAAAATACACAGCTTGACAGCACACTGCATTAGTGGAACTGCTTTTTATTAACAAAAAAATGGGCACATACTGTATTTTTATTCAAGTAAAATCATAAATCTTTCAAATAATAAAAAAAAATGTTTGCAAAATAATTATATAAAACAAAATTGCACTTAGTTACAGTGTTCATCAACCCATTGTAAAGTAAACAGACTTTCAAGTTACCAACGCTAAGAATTTCTTTCTAAATATATTCACTGAAATGTAAATCAAAATGTTTGAACATTTTCCCATTAAAAAAGTTACCCATTTGCTACGTGACAACCTAAAACACCAGAAAGCTTTTGGCAGAACAAGAGCCACACTAAACAAACATTACTGTATAACAGAAATCTATAACTTTTTTTTCTGTGCTTGCCTCTTTACAGCTAATCCTCGATTTCTCACAAAGTCCCTTATATTTTGCACGGTTCTTTGAGCCAACGCAGGGCCCTCAACTTGCTTACAGTGACTGCATTCACTGTTAGTGGCCAGTTTTCCTTTACTTATGTGATTTATGAAATGACGCATTACAGCAGACACTTCAGCATTTGACCACGGCTTCTTTGGAATTCTTCTTGATCCTTGACTTGAGTTTTTTTCTAGAAAACAAGGACAAAAAAAAAACCCAAGCCCATCATATAATTAGTAGCTAGGCAAGTTCAAGCTATCAAAACTTCAGACAAAGCATTTGACAGATAACAGCTTGAGGGAAAAACATCAAAATCAACAGTATTTTTTTTTTATTACATGTTTTTCCATGATGTGAACACATTGGTGGAGCCATGTAGGGCCAGATTATTATGGCAGGAGATTTTAACCAAGTGATGGATGCTTTGATGGACAACAGTAAACCCAGTACTTTTGGTAGGCTGTGAAACTGTTTCTCTTTCATTTTCCTTCCCTCCATCTCCTTAAAAAAAATTATTTTCTAATGGTTAGATGCTCACCAGTATTTCAATAGGGACATGTTGATGCGTGGAGACAGTGTTGTGTATTTGGTTCTATTTTGTTTTGTAACTATTCTTTTCAGTTACATAAAAAATAAATCAAAGAAAAACTTGAATTGAACATTTATACCTCTACCTAATTGCATTTTTGTAGATTCAGTTACCATATACCCAGTTTTTGGGTAGTCATCTGTCACAAGCCTCTGTACTAATCTTGATCCTGCTTCAGACCCAATTAGTTTGTTTCATACTGGAAATGGGCGACATAACAATATTAGATAGTGACGGTTGAGAAAGTGCTGACAGTCTGTTCAAGTAGTAAGATATACGTACAAGTTTTTAAGTGTACATTGTATCTGGCACAGGTTTCTAGTGCAGGGTCATGTGGAGCTAGTACCTCTGATAACTACATAAGTACATGCAGGGTGGCAAGTATAGATCAAGGTCATAGATTTGGGAATATGAGCAGATTGCTTAAGGGTGCAAAATGAAAAAAAAAATTTTTTTTTTACACAGATCCTGATCCTGGCACAGATCTATGCATTACTGGAAGGCTTATCGCATAAATACCATTGTTTGTCTATGCGTTTACCCGATGACCTTTTAATAATTTGTTTTAATTTGATTGTTTGAAATGGCATGGTGGACCAGAAAAAAAGAGTTCAAAGATATACGACATGGAGGCCAAGGTTCCCTACTCCTGCTTTACTTTTAAGCAAACAAACTCTTGTAATCTTAAGTGACTTCTTTGCTCCTTAATTCTCCAGACGTACTTTTTAAAGTTTGCCTGATTTTCCAAAGGACTTTATTAAACTGGGTAGATTCAGCTAAAGAGATTGGAGTAAATTGTGTCAGTGTGACAGACTGAAAATCTGTAAGTCTAAAAGGAAAATGAAAGGAAATTAGGAATAACTAAACTTTTGAACCATGTTGTCTTTCAGCTACTCCCTTCTGCAAGGGTCACCACAGTATGCATGAAGTTAACATTTGTTCTAAAAATGGTTGTCATTTTAGAACTAGTAAGGGGTGCACCGATAAATCGAACAGCCAATTTATCGGCCCCGATTTCCTTAATTTTGGGGGATCGGAGATCGGCCGATACTTACATGAGAAACCGATTTTACCTATTTTTTGTAGTTTTAACAACAATTGTCTAAACTTCATTTACATTTCAGAGCACTACCTCATGGCCAGTTAAAACAAGTTTGTATTATTTCTAGGATATTGTTCAAGGGTATGTTTTTCAATAAAATAAAACGGAAAATTGAAGGTGCAACGTGACCTTATAACACCTGACAGTGTCGCTTGTAAAACAAAATCAGTATCGGCAGATCAGGTTTTTTAAAGATCGGTGATCGGCCTGGAAACTGCAATTGGTGCACCCCTAGAACTATTGTTAACTTCATGCATCAAAGCCTCTCATGGATGATGGTCAATGACAGGCTAGTATGCAGCCTTTGTTTTTTTAAAAGAAAATGTGGATTTTACAGAAACCTTTTGGCCTTTCCTCACAGTTACTATCCACCACTAAGAGATGGGGTTTTAATACTAGACTAGCCTCTGTTGTTACTTTTACACTGCCTCTACCCAGAACTAATGCCCACAGAACGCACCTGCTTCGAATGTTATCAGCCATTAAATGGCCAGTACTAGTTGTTATAATTCCCATATGTTGTGTTCAGACTGCCCCTCCTGTACCTCCTAGTAGGTTTAATGGTATGTTAGCGCTGATAATAGGCTCACATGGTTAGGTTCAAAGTAAAGGGTCTGGGGGTTAGGTTTAGGGTCAGTGCTCTGCGTCAGGTGTAAGATTAGGTTTAGGAAAAGGGTTACATAAAGCTAACAAAAGCATTTCCTGTTTTACCCACGTGTGAAGCTGCATATTACCAGCGATAAGAATATAACTTTAAAACTGCTAGGAAGTAGGAGGGACAATAACGTCCATTTAATGGGCTGATAACATCTGAAGCTGCTGCAGAACAACCATTATATACAGAGCCAGTTCATACTGGAATCTGTTGTCTTCCGAAAAAAAAAAAAAAAAACACTAATTGGTGATTACGATAGTTTTAAAAATAACCTTAAAAGAGCAATAATACACAAAAGCAATATTAATCTAAGTGATTGTGTCTATGAGTGAAATGTAGACTGTGTTTTTATTCTCCTTTTTTGACTATCTTTAGGAATTATTGTAGTCAACAACTTGTTCTTGTGTATCTTGGCTTTTTTATTTGTGGGATTTTGAGTTGTAATGATTGTAAAAAAAATAAAAATAAAAAAAAAGATGGAAAGATTAAAAAAAAATTACAATTGTTTCACAACAAATGTCCTACTTGATGCAACCTGGGCTTGAAACTGCAGCCTCAGGACTATGAGACCATGGCAATGACCAATGAGCTACCTCAGCTTCCTTCCCCTTCCCCAAGATAATTGAACAGAGCTGCATATAAATTAATTTTCAGATATTTTTTTGTCTTCTATTTCTACATGTAGTATTTTCATTTCATGCCATTCCTCATTGAAATCTGCCTTACCTTCTTCAGTTGAACGAACTGCTTCATCTATTATGGATAATGTCACTTCTACTACTAAACACAACACAAAAGTAGAAAAAAAAATTGTTGTGTCATGAATATGCGTTGTACATTTGGGTGGAAATAACTTACCGTCATCAGTGTGATGGATTTGTTCAGTTATTGGCGAGTTTGTTGAAGCTTCCACAGTCACAATGTTTCCACACTCTTGTGCCTCATGGTCATCTGATTCATTCTCACTTCCCATGGCTTCAGCATCACTTAATGAAATTTCATCTGAGAAAATTCCATTTGAAAAGTCAAATACATTAACTCAAAAGGAAAGCATGTCCTATTTTTGACTAACACTAAAAACTGGACTTAAATTAGTCTTCTAGTATATAATGAATACAAATAACAAAGAACTCTGTATATACCAGGCAACTAGGTAACATCATTTCAATATACAGTCTGGTTGCATGGGTACCAGGAGCATCCCAATTAAGTACAGGATAACATGTCAATTTATAATTTTTTTTTCTTGCTTGCCCTCAGCAAAGGCAGACGCTTCTCCCTCCTGCTCCGTCCCAGCTTTGCTCTTTGTCCTATGAACTTTTTCAGAGCCTCTTTCTGCATATCTTCTGAACTGCAAACTATGGATCTGGTCAGTTGGGCGCTCGACGCAATTAATCAAATTTTCTCAACAAGAAGACAGGGCGAAGGAGAGCCCTCTTGCCTCGACAGAACACTATACTGTCGATGGAGGACGTGTGTACAAAATTGGATTATGATAACAGGATTTCTGGTTTTTGGGAGTTTGTGGTTACCTGGCTTATCGACAAATTCGGAAAACGTCAGCAGCTATTCTGGCCATTGTTAAGCTGCCTGGCATGGAAGGAATATGCCGTGCGGCAACACTCGAGACTTAAGACACTGTGCGAGTGAATCTTGCTGGTGGGGAGGACTAGATCTTGGGAAGAAGTTGGAAGCTCGACTTGGAGTATGTAATCACAATTTGGCTGTTTGGAGTCGCCATGAGTTGTACTAGCGAGACTGTAAAGGCAGATGGAAATTATCAGAGCTCGGCCTGGCCCAAAACAAATGCTGATATCTGAATCTGGCTCCCCCCGCACTGGCCTTGGAAGGCCGACTAACTCAATTTCTCCTGGTTGTTATGGAAACAAGACACTCTGCACCCTCGTGTCTCCCCCCCAGCTCCCAAGAACATGGACCTGTGTAAGAGCTCAACCAAGCCAGCTGATAAACACCACCTCTTAT